TATGTAACACCTCACTGGACGATACCTCTCTTAATCTGTTATGTATGGGCATTTTGCCAACATTTGCAGTATTTAGTTGATTTATTGTATGCCTAGTGATGACCCTAGAAATATGCTTCTCTTTCATTGCACTATCTTCTTAATCCTTTCATTAGTTTTAATTTGTTTTTTGATTGGTTGAACAAGGAGGCCAAACTTCTTCAGAATCCAATAGGCAACTTTAGTCCCATAAACCAATTCTGATGTTACTTCTCTATGAATCATTTTTAAATGTCATACTTTCTGAACTGGTTATGTAGATAACCTTTAGATGTGAAATAGGTGGTTCTAAAGATAGCCTTGCATTTGGTTCATTGATATTTTAATATGGTTACATGTTATGAAATTATCAGTGAAACTTGTTTCTCTTAGTTTTCAGGGCCAAACTCTTCTGAAAATTAATTTTTATTTTGGATATCATAAAATTGGGGCAGAATATTTTGAAATGTATATTGTATAAAGTATGTGCTACTATATCTAAAAAACCACAGATAAGGCATGACCATGACATAACTTTAGTCTGTACCGGAATACACATGTACTCATGCATTCTTTACAGCGTGCATTTTGAGGTATTAAATCCAACTTATTTGATACTTCCCACTTTGGCAACCAGATTGCAGCATCTCATTGTATACCTCTCCTTGTCTGTCATTTTGTTATCACCACTTGTAGGATATTCAAAAGCACAATTTTAAGGTTGTGCAGAAGAGCACAAACTCCACATAAAATTTCATTCAAATCTATCCATTGGTTTTTCTGTTGAATTGACTGGATAGATGGATTGACAGACATAACTAGCCCATAATGCTTTCTCGTGCAAAGAATGCATAGAATTCTTCAGGAAGTGCTTAAAAAATTCTTGTCCCTCAGATTATCTGACTCCATGAAACAGAGTTCTTCTTGAAAACTAATAGTCACTCAGCTATTCAAGAAATTCCCTGCATTTTACAGAACCTGAAGGTTTATTACTGTGTTTACAAGAGATCACCATTAGCCCTTATCCTGAGCCAGATGAATTCAATATCCATGCTATTTATTGTATATCTTTTTCATTATTATCCTCACATCTGCAGTTACATTTCCCAAGTGATCTCTTTTGTTCATGCATTCCCCAACTGCCAGTTTCAAAGATATGTTATTGACAGCAGAACATGTGTTCACTCAAGTGTAAACATTTCTTTTTATAGATTAATGAATAGTAAAGCATTTATGGATATACAAATATGATACATTGTACATGGACATATTTTATTATGCATGACTAGTAGTTATGCAGGATTAACAATTATTCTATTGATTTTGTGTTTGAACTTGATAATTTTAGGTTGATAGTGCTTTATGTGGCTAGGGATGTGATATATTTTAATGTACTCAACCATCATTTTTCTGTAGGAAGTGAAGAAAAAAGTGAAGTTTGGTGGATGAATATGGGAGGGGGGGACACCCAAATGTGTCTATCAAATACAGGACAGGGATGTGAAGGGTAGACAAGCTGTTTTAATGTTTTTGGTACAACAGGATGCCTCGGTGTACTAGATTGTGAAGTAATGCATCAAAATCTTTTTTTAATACTGTTCTTAAAGTTGAATGGAAATGATTGATAAACTTTTCCACCCCAGCTTCTTATTTTGGAGGTTCCTTGTTCAAATCTCGGCCCGTTTCTTGACTGTCCTGACATGTTTCGTGGTTTTCCTCAGCCCCTCCAGGCAGTTGCCAGGGTGTACCTTAGATTAGGCCACATCTACTTCCATATCCTTACCAATTCATTGAAAATGCCATCATTTGACATTCTGTAATCTAATCAGCTGACAGCGTCGTTTAATAAAACAAACAAAAAAACTGGAATGCTCAGTCGAGTTTGAGTAATTTCCGTATGCCATGCTTGTATTAGTTACGGTCTATGAAGTTTTCAGCTGAAACTTTGTTTGTGACGTATGGGAATATGTTCGGCTGTAACTGTTTGTTCTTTATGAACGTAACCGAAGATGAAAGAACAAATGACGACGGTAGACCGTTTAGAATGTATTGGCAATGTCGGATACCATGATGGGAATTACGGGTTTGGTTTTCGTAGTGTAGAGCAATGACGCAAGGAGATGGAGTTGTAATTTTCAAGGCGCTGCTAATAACAATTTAAAAAGATCTGTGTTGGGGAGATGGCAGCATTCCAATTACTGCCTCGTCGCTGCTAGAATAAGCTGTTGTAGATTGTATTATGCACGTCTAAGTGAGCAATAAGCACGGTGTGAAGTGCGCGTGTAAACAGGCAGTTCGTAAGTGGGCTTATAATAAGTTTCAGTAATGAAGTGTAACATAATTGGAAGTTAGCAAAATTAATCCAAAACATATATAATGGAGGATACGTGATTCATTCATAAGTAATATATAATCAGCTCATTTGAATTCGTGTTGCCGAAAAGAACGAATATCATGGATATAAAAGTTTTGCATAAAAGCAGCACATTTAGTTCTTTCACAAGCAGTGGCCATAAAATTGGCAGTTGGTTTGCTACCCTTGGTGATCGACGGAGGAAAAATTCCATGAAAACATCAAAAAGCCTAACTTTAGGTAAGGAAATGGCATGTTCCTGTTGGTACACAAAACTGTTAACAGATTTTGTCCTGCTCTGGCCAAATGTGATTCATTAATTACCATACCCAAAATTTATACACAATTTTGGTGTATATTTTTATTAATTTTTTTAATGTTTCAAGGCACACCAAAACATACCAACATTCTTTCCTGTCATACAAGCATAGTATTTTGTTTTTCTTGTGAGGCAGCAGTGGGTAATATTTATAAATAATAGGAATTTATAAGGAAGTAGAAGTAAGATACTGTCATAAATGATCATTTCTATAGGTCACAAAAAACATTTTTTTAAATTTTAAATTTACAACTTTATGTGGAACATGTTACAATATGGTAACCATATATGCTTGCCCCTAAATTTGAGATTTATGAAGTTTAATATTGAGGCCACAGAAAGAAGTACCATGGATTGGCTTCATCCACATATCCTTTGAGTTGTTACATGTCCACTTCAAGTGTACTTTTCTGTATTTACTACTGCCTTTTAAGTGTTTCTCTTCACACGAATGTTGGTAGTGACACTAGCAACAAGCACTTTCAGTTGGCTGACTTTGTCTAGAAGAAGCCTGAGGAAAATATAACAGTAGACAGGTTCCTTGAGCATCGTCATCCCCAAGATCTGCTGGAGTTTCTTCTGCAGCCATAATGTAAACCTATTCATTTCCTGTATTCTGTCATTGAATTTAGTTTTTAAGAGGGATGGTGTTAGTTGTGTAATATTGTTCTGTGAAGTTATCACTTATTGCACAGGTTAACTATGATATAACATTTCTGCATAATGTGTACAATTACTTGATCTCAGCTGTTAGACTGTTGCATCAGAATAGCTAAAATAAAACTTGGCTGTGCCAGGGAATACAAACTATTTCTTGTTCAAAAAGTTCATTGTGAACTAACAGCAACAATTTGTCATATTAACCTATCTGCAGACTGAGTTTCAAAGCTTAAGACTTTAATCTGCTGCTGATATTAGAAGAACAGTTTTCATAACATGAGGCAGCAATTTTATTGTATAAGAACAGAAAAATCATGATATGTTTTGTCATTGGATTTTGTAGCCAAAATATATATACTGAGGGGCCCAAAAAATATGTGTACAGAACATGACTTATAGTCATCCCTTGATGTCTGTATAAATTTAGTATTAAAGCTTTTATACAGGTTTTTGTTTTGTTGAAGTGTGTATACATTTTTTGGGCCCCTCTGTATACTGTGGTACCAGAATAGACTTCTTGATCTGTTGATTGTGGTGTTCTGGGTTTTGATGCCATGTATTCTTCTATGAGCTTTCCCCTGCCAGAATAAACAGTGTTACAATCCAGAAGATGACAGTTATTTTCACTGTTGTGAGAACCTCAGATCTCAGACTGTCAAAAGCTTTTTTTTAATCTGTAATGATTTTTTCTTTCTTCCAATTTTCTGCTTGTAGTAAATGGTTAAAATAAGAACCTAAGAATATATCTTCACATAGTATTCTCCCTTCCTCACTTTATTTCAAGGATTTTTATGCAGTATAATACAGTAGTGAAAGTGTTACCTTTAATTTTCAACAGTATTAATGCTAGAGTATGCCTTTGGATCTGATTCTGAGCCAGTTCCATCAGTCTGCTGTCCTTGCAACTTATATCTTTAAGAGTCATCGTATTAACTTTATAAAGTTTTACAAACAAGAGCATGTTGCTGCTTTCCAGTATTACCTCTGCAGTTAAGTAATTCAATTAATGAGGTGGCTTGCTTGGGAATTGGCTTTATTTCTGAGGTTTCCTGAAGTTCGTGTCTTTACATGTTCAGAGCAGAAAGGGACGCTTCACTATGCAAACAGGTAGACTTGAATATTTTATCAGAAATCTTTGTTTGCTTTGGTGAAAATTGTTTGTTGATTTGTGAACATGTGATGTTTAAACCAGAAAATTAATTGTAAAAGAGTGAACATTATATTTTTTTATTTGCATGTCAGATTTTTTAACATTTTATTCATGAAGTGTTGCTTCATAAAAATGTCTTGGTTTTATAATGGATGTGTGTTATTTTATAAAATAGTACTGACAGCACATACAAAGTGAAACAGAAGAAAATTAGAAGACATAACATTAAGGGTTCATGTGTTGGATTATGTAAATAGCTGTTTTTCTTTTCATCGTGGCAGCACTGGCAGTTGTTTGTGGATGAGATCACAAAGTAATGTTTTGTATGTATTTAGATATATTAGATTTGTATAGTGAACTTCAGTTTTTGTTGTCATTTTACACTATGTGACTTTGACATGTTCCTGTTGTTTGCATTTTGAAAGTAAATAGGTAGGTGTTGTGCATGTTGGGTTGAAGGTAATCAGATAACCAAATCGCTGTGTCACCTGAATTTACAGGTGTGGTGCACGAAAACCCACGGATTGGCTCTGATGGCGAATCAGAGGAGGCATCCGGAGCATCCGATGAGGTAACCTCACCTATCAAACTCCGGCCAAAGAACAGGAGACTGAGTGAGGTACGTCATGCAGGTTTAAGTTATGAACCATTACCATGTTTTCATTGAGTTGTATATCTTATGAATGTTAGCCACGTCTCTTCAGAAAACAGTAAGTGTGGTGTTTACTAATATCAAAGCAAACATACCTGCTCTTTTAAAACCCAGTTATTTGCTCTTTCACTAATGAAAGTTGTATCTTCTTCTTATTCTTCTTGGGCATACAGCTCAAAGTTTAGCCAGTGCCTCCTTCAATATGATAGCCCATTCAACCCTATCTTCAACTCCATCTTCATATTCCTAACTCCTCCAAATCCTTCTCAACACAATCCAACCATCTCAGCCTGGGCCGCCCTCTATCTCTTCTCCCATCGGGTTTTCCCATAAAGATTTTCTTCACAGTCCTGGTGTTCTCCATTCTAATTAAGTGAACTGTCCATTCAAGTCTTCTGGCTTTTGTTAAAGTTACAATATTTGGTTTGTTGTACAATTTCTCAATTTCCAAATTACTGCAGATTCTCCACCCATTTTGTTCTTTAATAGGATCATAAATCTTTCTCATGATTTTCCTTTCCCATCGTTTTAGTTTATGTTTCATTTGCTCAGTCATAGCCCATGCTTCACAACCATACATCACTATTGTTTAATTATTATATTATAAATCTGCAATTTAGATTGGAGGAGACATTAAGCATAGAAAGTTTTAACATTGTGTCATTAGTTGGAAAGTAAAGTACATTTTAACTTTCAAATCACATTGTAAAGTTAAGAAATATAACACAGGTATTAAAAATTGCTGAATTTGTAGTAGTAAAAATAGTAGTTTTGTGGCTGAAGTTCAGTGTACAACCTTGACTTTCAGCTTCTGCCATTTTTATATGGCAACTGCAATGTTTACTGAAATGTTGAATAGTTCTCAACATTTGACATGGTTCATCCCAGAAGTTGTACAACAAAAATACTTGTTTAAAATATGATTGAATGAAGACCATACTGTTTGCATAAGTAGACATTTTGCAGATACCTATATAATTCAGAGACCTGGAACAAGTGGATGCTTTATCTCCAGTTGTTTATATTTAAATTTGTGATATACACTGTAAGCATTGATAATTCCTTAATTCCAGAAGTGAATGTTATGTTGATATTAACTCTGAAAGTTGATTAGAAATTGTATTTATTTCTAAATATGAGGGTCATATGAATTACTTCTACTAGGAACAGTCACAATGAAGGCATTCAAATGCATTTATTCTATACCCCCACAGCAAGACATCAATAAACGTTTGTCACTGCCAGCTGATCTTCATTTACCAGAGTCATTTGTAGCAAAGCAAAATGCAAGTCCTACCATTGAGGGGCCGTTGAGTCGAGCCTCACGTCGACAGTCGCTGTCAGAAATAGGTTTTGGTCGTACGGAAACTTATACCAAGTTGTACAAACTTGGGCAGGTATGTGAATACAACTTCAAAGTTTATTTTAACATAGATGAACCCTTTCCAGTCCAATGTTGAGGCGGACACAAAGTCCAACATGCTGTTATATTGTAGTGTATAATGTCTAAAACATTTTAAAAAATCAAAGTATAGGCAAGTAATGAAATATTCATAGTCCTATATAGTTCAATAGTTCTATAAAGAATAGTTGGTTAACACTGTTTAAGAAAATAATCACTGTTTACTCTGTGAATCATACAAAACGTAGGAATATACTGGGGTCAAAATGCAGAGTTTTTTTTAAAGAGTTGCTAGTAACAGAAAGGATTTTGTATAAAATTTAGTACTGTACATTCAGTTACACTTTTCAGAAAAATTTATAACATTGTTAATTAATGAATGTCTATTAGATTCCATCTGATAGTAATAACATTCTGTTGTCATAAAATTCAGGTTTTAGCAACAGTTTATTTATGTTAATACATTAATAATGGATTTGTACTTATTTATGTTTAAATGTTCTAACTTTTAAAACAGATTTTCTTTATTAATTTTTGTTTAAACTAGATAGACCCTGATTAATCTGCCCCATGAATAATCAGGAGTTTACTATACTGCACATATACAGGTGCTTACTGTATAATTACTATCAGTTGCATGTGTGTGACATGTGGAAAAGTGGAGTGTTAATTATTGGTAAGAAAATGTGCCTACAAAGAACAGTGTCCTGGGGTTTGACTACGCTTTGAACAGAACTTGCTAGTAAAGGTATAGTTGTGCATATTGTTGCTGTAGACATTGTCATTTGTAAAATTAACAAGAGAAAGAATGTTCAGACAAACAGTAGTGTGTATTTTGTTCCATAAATGAGGATATAGTAAAGATGACTACTAAATAAATGGTGTGGAAATATACTTCACATTTGTGCCTTTTCTTTTTCCCTAATGATCCTAGCTGCACTTTGGTACATACATTAAGAAATAGAAATATGCCCAAGCATAAAAAAAGTTTGTTTACCACCACCCCTCCTTTAACACCAGTATTGGTGGTGGACGAAATGTGGCACTTTAATAGGGCTTGTCTGTATGTTCCTTTTTTAACAGGGTACATACGCAACTGTGTTCAAAGGGAAATCACGTCTTACAGATAATATAGTAGCTTTAAAAGAAATTCGGTTGGAGCATGAGGAGGGAGTTCCGTGTACAGGCATCCGAGAAGTATCTTTGTTGAAGGAACTCAGGCATGCTAATATTGGTAAGCATATCACGTGTTTAACTTGTTTTAAGAATGTACAGTAATTGATTATGCTCTGGCAAGAGTGGAGAACATCTTATGGTATAGTACCTTAAAATATGACAGTGGCTTTCTCCTCAGTTCTTTCTGGATATTATCATCCTTTTATGTGGTTTGATCCAACTTGATCAAATCATGAATCACGAATAATATCTTACCCAAGGTGAGTGCTGCCAGTATCACACTTTTCATTGTTTTCACAGCCCTTTTGCTGAACAGGGGAATTTCACTGTCCTGTAGGACAGTGAAGACAGATTAGAGGACATAGATAAACTTTATGTTGTATATTCTAGACTTACTAGTTGTAACTTACATTTCTTTTACCATCTGTTCGCACTTAACGTTATATCAGTACAGATCAAGCAGCCGTGTTACTTATATTCTTTTCTTAGATTTGTTGATGATTATTTTATTAAATACACATAAGATCAGACACAGTGTGTACCAGTGATTAGAAAGGATGAAAAATGCCAAGAACACTGCATTGCTGATTAATTCAGGCAGTGTAATTGGTGCTGTGAAATTGTAAGAGATGCAATTGTTCATAAAGTCTGTGCATATTTCTTTGCTATATTCCCACTTTTCAGTAGATATTTGAGGACAGACTTTTTTTACATTACTGATATGTAGCCTTGATCCTACATTCCTGTGCATAAAGAGTTTTTAAAAATGCACAGTGTTCTTTTTGTGTTTATTAATAATGAGTCTATCATTCCAAATTCCAGTAGCTTGGTTCATTTGGCTCTGGATTAGAGTTGGATGGCATATGTTGAATTTTCAAAATATTTGTGAAATATATTATTCTGATTCAATATTTATTTTGCAGTGACATTGCATGACATTGTGCATACTGAGAAGTCCCTCACCCTTGTTTTTGAATACCTGGAAAAAGATTTAAAGCAATACATGGATGATTGTGGTGCCATCCTTAGTATGAATAATGTTAAGGTATGTTTTTGTTGTTTTATATCACATAAAGCAGTCATTTCTAGTATGATTACTTAAATGTGTCTTAATCCAGTTTGAAAGTGAATTTTCTGCTCTTACTCATAAAGTATCTCCCAGATTATGAATTATACTAACAATATTCATCTTTAATGATGCAATGGAACTTCCATTTAATTCTCAATTTGTTTTCCTTACATAGTATTTTGTTTACCAGTATTGTAGTGTCAAGTTTCTTCTTGTTTAATAATTTCCTTATTTTAGTGTTTGCATCTAGTCTCTTCTGAAGAAACATTAAAGTGGGAGTTAACTGTAATTGGAAATGTAAGATAACAGTATTACTGTAAGTTGTGACTAGAAATATTTGTATGAACGTTACATAAGTTTTGTGGACTGGTGTTCCCAATCAGCAGCTGCTGCCCATATCAGCAGATATAATTAGAATCTGGAAAATTTGAAAAAGTACTCAATCTTATGGGTACTGATTATTTTCTAATGTGGTATAAATTAAAGGAAAGTATAACAGAATTTTTATTGCTGTTCCAATGTTTGTTGTCAGATTAATTTTGAGTATATACTTTCTGCTAACAAGCAAAGCATCAGTGTCATATAATTAAACTTTTCATTTGTCCAAATGCCTTTGTCAGTATAATAATGGACTCTTTGTAAGTAAGTTCATGAATCTTGAACAAGAACTGAAAGTTGTAAGCTACTTGTTTATGTTTGCTTGGATGTCTCATGTTGAATTAATAGTTGCATAGAATATGTATTTAAAAACTTGTACTGCAGTTTATATTTATTAATTGATTCATTGTGTTATCTCTTTTGGCACAGTGATTTGAAATTTATACCATTAACTGCTTTCATGTCTTCTCCCAGCTGTTATGGCAATGCTGTTGAATCTATTATTGCGCCATTACATCTGTCATCATGTTCATCACTGCTATTATAGTTTAGGGTATTGTTGATATTTGCTGGTAGCATTAGTATGTATTAGGTTATTACAAACAACAATTGAACATAAAATTGTAAAATAATAAGGCTGTCCTACTAGCACTTCAGTCTCATGTCTGACGTTTACTTACAGGAGAGCACGTTTGATAACATATTGGTAGAATTGCATAAATTTGACATACCATATTACAGTGCAGAGATATCAGTAAAAGTATATGAGTCTTATTTTAACCAGTTCTTTCATATGTAAAATCTGAAACAATGTGTTTTGTCACTCAGTTCTTGGTTTGATATGACTATCCACAGAAAATATTCCTGAATTTTGAGAACAGGAACAAACTGAACCTTCTGTACAACTTATTTTGAACTTTCCGTATGGATCAGATGGTTTCAAAACATAGTAGTGAAATATTCACATTACTACATATAGCAGACTAACAGTGACAAGTTGAGAATGGTCATTATGCGATATCAGTATATTGTTAGTCAGGTAATAAGATTTAATGTGTATGTACAGTGTTGATAAGTACAAAAATTGGCATGACTGCACTGGCAGCCATTATTAATTTTGTTCTGCTTATAGTTGTTCCTGTTCCAACTTCTGCGTGGCCTCGCCTATTGTCATCGGCGCAGAATATTGCATAGAGATTTAAAGCCTCAGAACTTACTGATAAATGATAAAGGTGAATTAAAGGTCAGTAAGCTTTTCCTCTTTCATTAAAAAATAATTCCATTAACATCATATCTATCCTTTAATAAAATTACATTTATCCTTATTCTTTTGTTTACACTTTCACTATCATTAAAGGTGACATGCAGTTCTGTTTTAGTTAATAATTTTCGGTCATTGGAGGCCATGCTTTGTGTTAATACTGAAAGCAAGGAAATTTTCATCATTGTGATCCGCTCTCCCCTTCTCAACAACAGTTGAAAGGGGGAGGAGGTGTTCAGTTCTATGTGTCGGAGGTTCGCTTGGCCCACGCCCCTGAAAAAGGGTGTACTCAAACACATCAGAGTACAGTTGAAAATAAAACCCTTTAATGTCCTAAAACAAATTATCATACATACACATTACCAGGGCTCATTGATAAAACTATCACACACAAAGAAACTCTCAAACAAAACATATAAATACAACAAAATCCCCACGATACGGCTCACTCTCGGCAATGCTCAATTCGTCTCCCCGGTCTTGATGACCCCGAGGGACCAAGAATAAATCCGAAACACAGTAGTTGCCCCGTCCACCAACAAAACAAATCCAATACCAATCTGGATGGGCAACTACAACGTGAAAACACATACAAATCAATGTCGCCTCGAAGGGAGTGCCTAACCGGAGAGAAGTTGCCGACCGAATCTGTAGCTACAGCCAGAGAGAGTGTCTGTGTTCTGGCGAGAAGGGTTCAGCCCAAATCAGTCCCCCTTCCTAAACTAGCTTAACCTCCCCACACGCATGCGCACCCCTTTCGAAGTTTTGCCGTCACAACCTCAGAGCCAGATGTAGTTGGCTCATTTGTATGAATTTAAAGTAATGCTTTTCAGAATATTTAATTTTTTGCGTATGTAACTGTATAATGGTTTTCTGTTTGTGTCCTTTGAAATGTGTTTTTTAAGAACTTTAGAAAGCGTTCAAGATACAATGGGTAAAGTACAGAATAAGTAGTAACTGTCTGAACATATTCAGCTTGCAGATTTTGGACTGGCTAGGGCAAAGTCAGTTCCCACCAAAACATATTCAAATGAAGTTGTAACACTTTGGTACCGGCCGCCCGATGTCCTTCTTGGATCTACAGAATATTCAACACAAATTGACATGTGGTGAGCATTAGGTACTTCATGTGATCTGTAACATTAGTAAACAATATCTTAAGGAAGTTGATACGCAGAAAATTTGTTTTAATCACATTATCTTACATAATTTGCATCCTTTCCCCTTGATCTTTTAACTTTAAGGAGCAAATGCAGACCCTTGTCACAGTTTTGAGAACACAACTGTTGGGCTTAGAATAAGAAACAATTAGTTTAGTTGTTTATGGACATAATCACATTTCTTATGCCAAATTTGTAGTCCACGAATTTGGATTTTATGTATACTATTGAGTGAAAGACATAAATTGTAGATGCAAAATATGATATATGAACTGATTTCATATGTATGATGATTGAAATTAAATGTTAATTTGTTGTCAGGGGTGTTGGTTGTATATTTTATGAAATGGCCTGTGGACGTCCATTGTTCCCTGGTTCAACAGTTGAGGAGGAACTGCGACTGATCTTCCGAGCACTAGGCTCACCACCTGAGGATGCCTGGGGTGGATTAGCAGCAGCATATGCATCCCAGAAGTGCTCACCTGAGCCCCTCTTGGCAAGGGCACCCCGCTTGGATGCTGATGCCATTGACTTGCTGTCAAAGTTCCTTTGTGTAAGTTGAAATTAAAATTTCTTTAATATTGTAGTAAGAATCATCAAGATCACAGATAAATTAATTTAATGTGGTGGTGGGAATGAGCATGTAATGATAGATTGTAATTACATTTTTACACGTATCGATGCTGAATATAATAATTGTTCACAGAAGCTTTGTATTTCCAACTTAGAAACAGTGAACATTATGTGTACTAAATCATAGACTTTCATTACTGAAACATTGATAGATTAGTAACCACAATGTGATGACATCATAGTAACAACACTCATAACCGATTATCTATTGTCTGAGATATTGGATGGGTGACAGTACAAAGTTTAGTAAAGTGACATCAGAAGAGCAATGCAGTGGCATCTAGGTAAAGAAGCATGTCTGACTCCATGTTCATTGGATTTTTTTTATTGTTCTGTTTCTGAAAACATGTCCTTAAATTTTCCAAGCATACTTTTGACTCATTCTTTATAGGTTACAGCATATACATTATTAATATGGTCATTGAATTTTGTGGGCCCCCAAATTTTCTGCATTCGTAGAGATCTGTAATGACCTAACGATCCTATAACATTATTGTTTTTACAAATAATGTATACTAAATATGAAAGTATATTCTAAAGTTGATACCCTATTATGAAAATGTGGATTAAAATTGTCATCTTGTTTAGAATGATATATGTGATTCATCTAAAAGTTATATTATACAGTAATGTGACTGTAAGAGATCTAATAAAAGGTATATGGGAATTACCATCCACAAAAGTTTTATTCTGCAGCAGTCATTTTGCTGTGTACTCCATGTTCCAACCTAACCAGGTCATAATCAGGCATAAAGACTATGAATGGCCTGTTGCAAAGATGTGTATATACATTTATCTTTTAGTGGGCTGACGGATGTTAGTGTCCATATGTGGGTATTCAAGGAGTTTCCATGTTTTTATATATACTGTAGTAGAAGTATATGTAAGTATAATTGTATAGAAGGCATCTTGGTACTTCAGTAAATATTGATAGTTTAGTATATTGAATAAAGCTCTTGTTCATTCTCTATTATAAGTCCATAATTTTTGTATTGTGTTACATTTGTAGGTATTTGCACCCATTATGTGTTTCCTAACTGTGTCATATATTGATTTTCAGTATGAAGCCAAAAAGCGTGTATCTGCAGCAGATGCTATGAAACACCCTTATTTCAGATCCCTTGGGCCTGGTGTTCATAAACTTCCTGATGGTAAGAAAGGACAATATATGTAATATGAAAGCAGCAGAAATTTGAATAGGTTTATTCCATGATACTACAGACTCTTTAATATGTTTCAGTAATGTCCATCTTCACAATTCCTGGAATTCAACTGAACAAAGATCCTGGTTGCCGATCGTCCAACTTTCCAAAGTCTGGAGTCACTGGGCATTCACGACGCCAGAGCATGCTCTTATGAAATACAGAGTGGCCGAGCATTCAGCGTATCTCTTTAGAGGTAGCCATGGCTCGGTGAGACACCATGGATATCCAGTCCATCCAACCGCAGCTCTGATTCCGCCCGCCAGCCATTCTTTTCATGGCATGCTGTGAGGTATGGGGTGCTTTATACAAAAAGTCGGTTCTGTTTAAGTCATTTAATAATATCGTTGAACCGTGTGGTGAAGAAGAGGGAAACTAGCTGGAGTATGCTGTTACTGGCATCCTAGATTAGGAACTGTTACAAAAAGTGTTTTTGACATTGTGCCACTAAAGTCCTAGTTTTAAACAGAACTGTAATATATCATATTATGTTACTGTGTATTACTTGCATTGGACTTTGATCTCTTTATTGACTAATTGTTCACGTCTAGTCAATAGACGAACTGGTAGTTTTATGAATTAAGCAGATGGTGGATGGTAGGCAGGTAATGGAACAAAACAACCTGCTAACATTGAAGATTAAGTGGAAACAAACCTTAATTAATAATGATCTAGGGCTGTGCAAATATTTTTTTGTTTTGTTTAAAAACTGAACATAACTGTGATGCATCAAGTTGATTCTGACGTTTTGAACTGAACTGGCAGTTGGAGTCAAATTGGAACTGAACAATTTTCAACCATAGCGTTTTATCCCTCCTTGCATAAACACGAAATGTGTTCAATTGTTTGTGATGTAGAGGTGTATCCTATAAATTATTCATGTTTTTGAATTATACCTGTCCATTCTTTAGTAGATTAAAGAGAAACTTAGGATTCTGTTTCCTCTATTAAAACCTTTATTTAATGTAGAAAGAAAATTTTCCATCAATTTCAAAGAGCGCTAGCATGCATGCAGATAGAAATTGTGCTGTGTCATGCATTGTAACATGAGTGTTAAATCATTACAGTTTTCTGTACACTGTAAGATGATGGCTGAAAAAACGATAGACGTCAGTAAATTTTTATAATTATATGGGCAAGTACAGCGCAAATATATTTTGCTTTAAAGGACTAAAGGTTAAAAAATGTATATTGATTGTTAATGGACCATATGATCTTATCGTTGTCAACAAGTTAATATTTAATGTTATTAGAATGAATAATGTTAATTTGGCAATTTGTATGAGGGTCACTCCAAAAGTAATGCACCATATTTTTTAAAAATTCAATTTTTATTTTACAACTTTGCTATTCACACAGTGGATAGGTACAGCCTTTAAGAACAAAATGCTACTTTTCAACGCAGTCTCTATCTCTCTCAACTGCCTTACACTACCTCTGAGCAAGAGCATGTATTCTTGGACAGTAAAACTTGGGGTCAGCCCTTTTGAGCCACTTTTTCACAGCTACCACAAGGGAGTCATTGTCCTCAGACTTAGTCCCATGAATGCTGTCTTTCAGTTTATCAAACAGGTGATAAACTGGCGGTGCCAGATCAGGCCTGTGTGGTGGGTGTGGCAACACTGTCCGCCTCAATTTTGTGCATCTGTCAGTTGCCACGGGACCCACCTCGCACAGACCTTCGAAAATCCCAACTGTTCCAATATTCTACAGACACTGACTTTGCAATGTCCAGTCGGAGTGATAATTGTTTCACAGATATGTGTCTGTCCGCCATGATCACGTTGTTCACCATCTCAACATTGGCATCCGTCCACACTGACTGTGGCCTGCCATTGCGCAGCAAATCGCAAATGTTTGCATGTCCACCTTTGCCTGATGTTCTTTGTGCCCAGTGGCTAACTGTGCTGCGATCGACGGTATCCTCCCCATACACCTTCTGCAGTTGCTGGTGGATGTTTCCCACTTCTCGTTCTCACACACCAGGAACTTGATAACAGCACGTTTTTTCTGACGAATGTCAAGGACAGCAGCTGTGTTTAATGAATGATACACATGTGTCGCTTGCGGGAGAAGGATGAAGTAAGTTTTAATAGAAGCGGGATGAATGTTTCTGTGTTCTATGTGAATAGCAACACAGTAGAATAAAGGGATTTTTAAAAAAAAATATGGTGCATTTCTTTTGGAGTGACCCTCATATGAAAATTAGAAACTCACATTCAATTTACTTCACATTTTGATTCAGGCTATTCTCACAGATGATAATTTTAATTTATACACACCTTCCAGATTTTGTATGGGGTATGAGACGTTCAGAAGGGTAGAATAATTATGGTACACTTGAGTGAACCCTTCAGAGAACAAAATGGTTGGACTGTGTTATATGGGTACAGGGAAACCTCGATTTGCGCTGATTCAGAAATTATTGTTGCTATGGGTAGATGACATGAATAAAAAAAAACACTCCCTTGACTGAAATTGCTATCACGGATAAGGCGAAGTCAATTTTTGAGGAACTTAAGTCATCAGTGTTTGGGTGCTGGGAACACATGTCATTGATTTACATTATAAAAAGAGTTTCAATTTACGCCGGTTCATCCAGGAATGCATCCCCGGCGTAAATCAAGGTTTACCTGTATTCTTTTTAGAGGTTTTGGTTGTTTTTACTTTACCAGTACTGTAAATTTTAATTGTTCTGTGGAGATGTTTGTAGGTTGGCTTATGAGATAGATGACATAGTGGTTTTACTGTATTTATTATTTCATAACTTTCTTACATTTTCTACTTCTTAAAGCAGTAACATAAGTTCAGGTAAACTGCACTGTAGTGAAAGTATTAACATACCCTAATGGTGGAGGTAGGGAAGGTCTGCAGAATGTTGGACTTGTGTTTTGTGCTCTAGAAATTATAAGGTGGCAAAATAAATCTAATGTTCTCTTACATATCTGTTTTGGAGGTGTTTTCTGGTCCTGAACTAATACTCAGGTACATACCTGTTTGTTTAGATGTTTTCTGGTTCTGAAGCCTCCCAGCACCAATGACACCACATCAAAGCTTGGATTTGGGTTGATATGCTTCAATACACCAAAGTCCCACATCATACCCTTTTTTATCCTTTGTTCAGAAGTTACTTTGATTGATTATGCATGTTTGGTTGTACATGTACATCACATTTATGTCTTCAGACCATTTACATGAAGTAATCTCTTGCTCTAGGCCAAATATTGCCTCATTATAGTTTTTTGGTGGTAGCTGGTCATGTGGCATTCTATTTGTATTAGGCTTTACTGTTCCACAATAACTTATTTAATTTTCATCAAACAAGTCAGAAGAAGGGGAAAATAAAGTTGTCCATCTTTCACAATTTCTGTGAAGTGTTTTACAGTTGTGTGTGTTGCTATCATATTTGTGGTCTTACTTGTTATGCCCTTCTCTTAATTAAGACTTCCATGCCATATATAACTGACCTGTCACTTAATTTGTAGTTTTATTCCTAAACATGTGTTTGTTGGGGATATACTGTTTTATATTTACCTTCCCTTTGTATTATAACTTCATTCACAGGCACATGTTCCAAAAGGATGTACTATTTTGAGTAGTAGTTCAGCAAGTCAAAAGTATGTCACAGTGAACTGAAGGACACCGGTTTGTGCAGACTGCGTTGGTCATGTAATGTTACTTCCTGTCACCATAAAAAAGTACTTTAAAAGCATAGCATACAGCAGTTTGCAGCCCTTGCAAATGCAGCTGCTTGCAGAATAATATGTGCAACTTTGGCAAGTTGTAAAAATTGTTTCTCTACTTAAAATATAATCACAAACATTCATTCAGCATTTTGCTAGAAATTACATACTGATTCGCATCCAGCTGAGAAGACATAAATGAATTCTAAGGTATAGTACAGTAGTGTTCAAAACTTCAGACTGTAAACACTATTGATACAATTGTTTTGCTTATTTTGTGAAATGAAACCATACTGTTGTAATGGATTATAAAGTAACTTGCATATTTAAAGATTAGTGTCAAATCTTTGTATGCACATACAGTTTTATTCTTTTTTTATAATTTAGATCTTATTTTAAGTTGCTTTGTTAAACATAATAATGTTATTCTACACATTCTCACTGTTACATAGCAGTTTAATCCAGCTGAGTCGGTACATATCAGCATTATGCCAGAAATTTGAATGGCATCACTTATCAAAGGATAAAATTTTGTGTGAGACATTATTCAGTTTGTGTAATGGAGAATGAGATTAAAAAACTATTTTTGATTTCTGAAAGTGGTGTTTATATGTTACTGATAACCAGGAGTATAATTTTTGGCTAGGAGTTTTTTTAAGAACTCCCAGTATTAAGATTTTGCTAAATCTTTAAAAAGAATATTAACATTTCTCTGAGTCCAAATCTGGAACTTCTTGTAAAATAAATCAAAATTGTTAAGTACTGTATTATTCCCTCATCTGCCTAGTGGTGTAGAAGTATAGTAGGGAGCTGACCATTTGTTCTGTACTGTGGCTTACATGGACAAAAATTTATAATTTTGGTAACATATTTCCTGAAGTCCATTAATGGAATTCTTTAGGAGTTTTTCTCACTCTAATGTGAGTGAAGAACACCTTATGGGCCCATCCATGTCTGTCATGGATTTTGGTCTGAGAAGTAGGTAACCTCCCAGGGCTTCCCCGAGAGGGGATGCAAAAGGAGAGGTTTGCACTGTTAGGATAGCTCCTTTCCCCTGAGGGCTTCCTTCCTAGATTTTGGTCTTAGTGGGGTTTATTTCTCCCAGTCATTTGTCCCCTTCTTCTTGATCCCTACAGCTTTGCATCATCCTCCTCCCCCAAAGCCTTGCCTTGGTAAGACCAGGACTACCCCCAAGGGGCTTTGTCACCTCTGGGGACAGCCCTAGATAACATCCCCTACACCTGTTTCTAGTCATGTTTTAACCCACCAAGCCTTTCCCAGCATGTTTGCATCCTGGGGCCTAGATGCCTGTATATTTCTGTATCAGGGGTTCTGTCCCTGTGCTTTCTCTCCTGTGCCTGGCCCACCCAGGTGTTTAAAGTCCATTACTTTGTTCTCACTGTGCTTAGACACTGCAGGGGCGGCTTCCACAGTGATGGGTTAGACCACCAGTGGGACTGCCCACTCTGGGCTTTGTCACTTCTGAGGCTTTTATCCCCTTGGAAAACCTCAAGTCTCTCTCCACACCAAGGTTTATAACCCCCGTAGCTTTATGAACCTAGCCCCTCCCCAGTATTCTTGCTCCCAGAGGTTGAGCCCCCTTGTGCTTGTTGCTCCAGGAGCTTTGCCCCCTCCCAAACTTTATTGCTCATACATTCTAACTGTCTGCAAACTTTCAAAGTCTGTAGTTTTGCCCTTGCTGGGCTTCGACACCTCTGGTCTTCCACTGTTACAGGTTACACCACCCAGAGTCATGGTCGATTAAAGGGTCTTGGCCACCACTGGGGACTGCACAACATGGGGAAACCCCCAGCACATGCTGCTCCAGGGGCTTTACTCTTCTGATCTCCCATTGTCTTGACCACTAGGCCTGGGCACCCCAGTGCTTCCACTAGCCTGGTTGCAGCAGTGTGAACTAGGTCATTCTTGGAACGCAATGCTCCAAGTGTGAATTGAGGTCATTGGATTGCATTGTTGTGATATCTGATCACATTATTGCAACAATTATTTTGGATTCCATCGTTGCAGTTATTCCCTTGGTTTCTGTGCTGACATCATCATCCCTGGTGTGGCATGAAGAATGCCTTTGAAATTTTGGTTTACCCCAAAGCGTACACCTTTCCAGTCTTATATTATGTATGGTTTAACTGTGACAACAGATACAGTTCTTCAGACAATTAATCTGACCAAAAGCACAGTTAAATTAACTCTGTTCACACGTGTTCCTACATTATTCCAAATGGTTGTATAAATTTTATCTTGGTCTTTGTTTGACATACTTAAGGGGTTAGTTGGAATCTGGTGAGTGTTCAAGAGAAATGAATCTCAATCATGAAACATTTTCAAATCTTCTTGCTTCCTTTTGTAACTTCTAGGTATAGAATGTCTCCACTTGTAGAATACAGTCACGTTTCCAGGAACTAAAATTAAGAAATGTTGTAACTTTTAGATGCTGGGAGTTCATAAATATTTTAAACTAGAAGTGTTTTTTGGAGCACAGTAGATAGCATTTGTTTCATCTTTTCCATCAGTTATAAATCATTCAGAATTCTAAGATCTTTCACTAAGTTACTGCAGAATGTGGCTCTAATCTTAATTAACACTTGTGTTTCAGAAGTGCACAATTTGCCATAAACCAGTATGTCCACTTAAATCTCTTATTTTTAGTGATGCATATAAATATTGTTTTGGAAGAAAGAACTCACCTCCATTCTTTCATTTAATGTTTAATTTTCTATATTTATATTAAAAATAGCAATTCAAGGTTTCATCCTTTAAGATACAATTATTGTAAAAGATGGATGCTAGATACTGCAACTTAATTTTTTTTCTTCTTCTTCTGTAAACGTTTGCCCCAAAAGCCATATAGGCCTACCTTCTTCATGAAAATAAGATAGTGGACAGGCACTGTGCTATGCACTCTCATTTTGCATACTGCAGTAGCAAGGGTATGTACAGTGTACAGAATAACACTTAAAACAGTTCTCTACACTTGTGAATATAATTTTGTTTTGAAAGTTTTGCTTCAGAACATTGTGAGGAAGGCAAGTATGTTAATGCTAAGGTACAATAGTATCTGAATACCTGAAAACATTTTCAGTAATTTCACAAATTACAGCATTATTTTAAATTATCAGTAATTTCTGTTCTAAAATTAGTCTGCCTTGAGTACATATTTGTATAGAATATACTTACTCAGTAGAACATACCACATTTTTACATATAGCAAATCCTTCTTTCTGTCTCCTGCTGGTACTTCAGAACTTTAAATTACATGAATAAAAATTTGGTCCATCTTCAAATGAGAAGGAAACACCAAGTTACGTTTACAGTAGAGTCTTTACAAGCACTGTTTACTTTTAAAATGCCTGTCTGTATTAATTGTACTGGAATGTTTAGTATATGTTGTTTATGTCCTACGTTTGTTGCAGTTTGATTACTGTATGTAATAGTGCACTATTTTAACCATTTGGGCAGTAGATACATGAATATTGTTAAAACTGCATAAGTAAGAATTATTGTGCATTTCAATGAATACAGTGTAACTTATTATATCCTAGTCATATAGACAAATTTTATGATTCAGATTAGCAAGAAAGCTTTAGAAGCTGATTGGTTTAGCATGTAAAGATAAGTGTAACATTTTAAGTGATACTGGGATCCCCATAGAAAACATTTCCAAATTTAATAGAAATAATAACTGATAATAATAGCAGTAATAACAGTGAAAGTAATGTTTCCTCCTGATCTTCAAAATGATGGAAATGTAGTCATGTGTGCTTCTTCATTTCCATTATATCTAAAGTAGTTGTTTTACCTGTACTGCCATATAGATCAAACACTGAAACACAACTGAATATGGAAGTGTCAATGCTTCAGCATGCTCAGTGCATTTATTATATTAGCAACCAGACTGACACAACAATAATTAAAGAACTGATACTGGATTTGTCTGTGGAGCTATCAGTTTAGTTAGTTTGCCATAATACAGGAAACTTTCAAGGTGTAAAGACCCAATACCTCAGACTCCACTTCCAGTACAAAGTAAATATAATGTGGGTGAAAATAAATGTTACAATACTAGTTTAAAAAAAGAAACTTTTATTATTTCTATAAATTAGTATACAAAATATAAAAAGTAAGCCATACTTTAGAGCCATCAGTGTTATAAGTTAATACAGTATACTCTTAATTATCAGGACAAATGGAGCATGAATAGTCCCAAAAACAAAGGTATGCTTTAAAAAGAAGATAGGTCACAAAGGCAGACTTGTCGTTTTTCTTACAAACTTATAAATAACATGTGGTCCATAAAGCTATTGTTAACCATTTACCAATCTTCTGTGTCTTCCTAGTCTAGGAGAAGAGAATCTGTATTCTGGAATGTGTGAATAGTTACCCCTCCAAATTCTAGCTATTTAGAGATGACCATCATATTACAAACTCTGAACTTCAGTCCAGGTATCTGTTGTGATTGAAGAAACCAATTCTCATCTTCTCACACCTTGGTACCATATTTCTTTTGGATTATTCATGTTGCCAGTTGCTCATACCACTCCTTGACATGATGCCAGTAAGAGTGATATTTCTATGGCTTCTACCCATATGGAAAGCTGACAATAGTAAAATGTGATTGGGAGAAGTTACAGATTACAGTGTTGTCACATTACAGAAGAGGAAATATCTCTCTTCCAATAATGTATTTTTAAATAATATGCTCAAGCTGGTGGCTGACCCAAAATGACAAATGTTACAACAGAACCAATAGTAGTGACATTCAGAGGCTGATGTGGTTTTAAGGCACATCACAACAAAGTTATTTGGAAACTGTTATAGCTTGTTTTATTGTGTATTGTGTTGTCTGAGTTGAAAAAAATGTTCATGTTTCATATGAAAAAAGTGCCCCACCCTCAATATGACAAGAAAACCTGTGTATCTGTGAAGCCAGTGGCTTCTTCAAAGAGCAAAACAGGAAGATGGTTATGGATAGAGTACTTCAGTAATGTTAACTAATTTGAAGGGCAAACACAAATTAATCAGCTGTTTTATGTGATGGAAGATGTGTGTATTCAAATCATGGCGCTAGAACCAGCTGTTTATATAATATACACACGTAAGAGTTTGTTCAACTTTAACATATCCATGCATTATGTCTGTCAAGCAAGTTTGATACAAGTTGACATGTTTATTCCCACAAGTGTATGCATGTTTTGAGACTTATGAGTGAAGCTTGCAAGCATGCAGCAAATAGTGGATGGGACTTCTGCTTGTAAAAGATTTCTCATAAGTAGTCAGTAGCACATATAACAGATTATGTATATGTGACACATTGAGAATGTTGAATTATTGTTTTTTCAACATCTATGATAACCACTTCAGAAAGGGGTGCTATTTCACTTTCCAAATCAATTTTTTCAAACCTTAATGCTGTACTATTAATATGCATAATTGGAAAGTATGAAACCATTTTTGGAGTTACATGCACCAATCAGATAACAGGCATGTCTGGATTTTGTGTTTTCTTGTGACCACCTGAAAATCACACTGTTTGATTCTTCCATAGGGCTGATATAGAGATTTGGATGTTAGTGGTAGTATCTAGGAAAGCTATGTTTTATGGGACAGACAATTCATGAACCAAATAATCTATACAGATAAGCAAGAGTTATGCTGTACATTCTACAAAGCAGCCTATAATTCCATCTCAGCTCCTTGGGAAATATTTACACATGCTCACACATAAACATTATCAGTCATCAGTGAGGAAGGATTAGAAGTAATGCTGTTTCTTCACCACTGCAGCTGGCTGTGATGACAATTTCTGGTTAAAAAAACCTGAAAACAAAATTATGAGTTAACTTCCTGTAAAGTGATATTTTAGGAAAACATACCAGCAATGTGCAAAGTCATCATGTTAAATCTCCTTGAAGACATTCACAGAAAAGTGGCAAAAGTACTTTAACTTTCAGGAAGTGGTTTCCAGCCAATGGATGGATACTTCAAAGGAGACCACACTCAGTGACGGTATGTGTATAATTCCCCCCCAACGAACACAGGTAAAACCTATTAGGCCTTGTATACGCCAGTATCTGGCATTAACAAGACTAAGATTCTGTACACATGATTTTACACTACATTTGTAACTGTCATCATTACATACTTAACAAAGAACACTGGGCATCCTCATATTACTCACTTAGTAAGTGGCTGAACTGTTCACTAAAAATATCAGAAAACATTCAATCTGGTAACACACTTTCTCCAATCGAGAGACTTGACTCTCAGTACTTTTGTAAAATGTTCCCACTGTACATTTCTCAAGTGTCCATATAATGCATCCACCATATTTTGTTTGTTACTTATGTTTCATTCCAATCTGATGATGGACATCCTTACCATTCTTCATAGGAGATGATGAAAATGATGGTAGTGTTGCAACACTTGATACATGAGGTGGAGACTTATGTACATGAAGATTTTCTAGGGCCATTTTCACATTGGAAGTCGGCTGATGACCTAAAAATTCATCAAGGATGTTCATTATAATAAGGTCATACGTAATCATATCGAGTTTTTCTTGCCCATAATTGCATGTGCAACATGCCATTAATCATTTGTGTTTCTTACAGAACAAAAAAAATTTTAAACTGTAAAAGTGATATCTGAATAACTATTTGCATCTTTCTGTTATCAAGAATATGTACTTAATGCTTCTCTTTGCTGTCATGTCTTAGACTGGCTCTGAAACCCACCCAGCTTCCCATCCAATGGATATCAGGGGCTCTCTACAAGGGTATGTATGTAAATGGGGCAGGTGATCGCTCAAGTGACCCTTGCACTGCAACCATTGACTGATCTTTTGTGCATCTTCTCCAAGGGTAAGTGACCAGTGTGTGCTGGGGTTTAGAATACATGGAGCTACATCTTATACACCTTCATAGTATGATGCCTATCAATACTCACCATGATGTGGATTGATGCTTGCTGCAACAGTATCAACATCAACACCTGGTGCTTGCAACCAAGATCCACTGCCAGATGCATCAATTCCCTACAGGCATGGAATAAACTAATAAAGTTGGTCCAGATGAATGTTTCAACAGAAGTCACATTAAAATAGTTCTTACCTCTTGATCATGAATGTGAGAGTTCTGCACATTAAACATTTCTCCATTGCCTGGAACATAACAAGAACTTTAAATGTGGTATATGATTACTACTGTAAGACCTACAGAACTAAGACCCTGGAGCGGATCAAAGCATATTTTCTTTCTTCGCAGTTTCAACAACCTCTCAATACTGTCATTTAAGGACAATACTACTAGGGTAATCAGAGTTGCCAGATTTTATTCACACTGGCTGTTAAGATTTTATCTATGCACTCCAACAGTGTTACCCTCTTTAATACACAATACTTCCCTCACTGTGAACAACTTAGTTTAAAATTTTAATGCATTATGTCTTGTATCAATTCTCAAGTCACATTAATTTCACCAACAGTGTATGAAGGGATTTTCTGAAAAGCGTGGATGGAAATGGAATGTTTACTCATGGGTCACATATTTTCTAGGATCTTGGAGCCACTGGCCACACTGTATTAAGACTTAAAATTGGCCACTTCATTCATTTCCCCTAACCCACATGATTCCATATAACAACCTCTATAGTCAAGACATTATTCCTAACAAATCACCAGTCCTTGAAAGTACCATCTTTTTGCTATAACTAACTCCATGGGACAGTTTCCCTTTCATAGCTGATAATAGTATTTATCAAGAAATATCCTATGTATTTCATCTCACTTCAATCCATTTTCAACAGGGCTCTTATCTTCATGAGGAACATTTCTAACATACTGAAATCCAGGATCTTGAAACACAAGTAATGCATAATCAGTACGAAATGTGGAAAAATTACCATCGTTTGATGAGTTCCATACAGCAAGAGACGGTTGGGAAAGACTGGAGTTCACTTCATTCACACCTCCTGTTTCTGCAAGGCTACGGCGGAGAAGCACGACACTAGCATGACGACGAATACGGGACGATATATTTGGGCCTGATCCCATAACACCAGATGGACCGGGACACAAAGCTAGATCATCTCGGGAACCTCGGCACAACTGCACGCCTGCTACCAAACCTGACACAGAACCAATTGCAACATCCACTCAGGCATCTCTTCACATATACCTTAGTCAGGAAGGTGACAAGTGTGGGTGAAGGTTCTAATCATGGCAGGGTGTTTGAATTTTTCTTTTCACCACTTCATCCACAACATGTTTGGCATACCCATCTTTTTCTTCAGTGGACACCAAACAATACAGTGGTTGGAGTATGAAGCTGATCACTCCCCTCATTTGGTGGCAAGGCTTAGAATGAGTGGATGATACATCTTCATAGCATGGTATGCACTTAGACTCAAGAGCAACTTGATTTAACACTATGATGACAGTGTACATGTTATGGTATGTCTAATTCAAATAATCTATTTATATAAATCTTTCAGTTTGTCTAGCTGCTTAATTACACAGCCATATTAATAGCTGTCCCAATTCAGAGAATAAAATATAATGGAAAAATAGGGCACACGTTATATTCATGATCATGTGGGGTCCACATCAACATTAATACATATGATCACAGCCACCAGATAAGTTAAACTTTGTTTTGTATGTTAGTCATAAGAGGCAACTACCTACCACAGGAATAGTTATGTTACCATTTCACTAAGTAATATGAGAATTGTGTTTGGGTCTATTTACCACATTAATACAACACATTTTTCCACAATATTTTATTTGAAAATCATGACGCTTGTCACATTCAAGGATCACCTTCTCTGGTACCAGCAACAATGCAGACATGGAATTGCAGAATTCAAGCTCATACTTTACTAATATAATAAGCTGCAGGCATCAGTTAATTTAATATAAAAACAATGATGCTTATATCAGGAATGTGAAGTATATACAGAAGTAAAATGAAGTGGTTAAAGCATTAGTAAAGCTTTTCCCAAAAAAAATTCTTCACAGACCTGTACCTTTCCTGTACATTATAAACAAAATACTGCCATGCAAATGACTTAAAATCAGTAACTTTGTGGAAGTGAAGTACATACCATAACTGACTTCTTGCATGCTGTGCTGTTTCTTAGCTTGGATGAATGGTGTGGCTGTGTGTTTGCTGCTGTTAACTTCTGTAGACCTTAAAGTTGCATCACTAACTGCTGGAACTGACTGTGTAGCACTACCCACTCTTAAGATTGGTCCATGACTTACAACCGGTCTTGTTCCTTTTCTGTGGCAATGAACACTAGGACTACTATAGGACACTCCCTTTACTGAAGTCTTGCCTGTTCCACTGCAAGAACTTGTCTTCAGTTCCTGATCCGCTGCAGTCTGCAGACTACTTTCTTGATTTGGATGAGCACTAAAATCAACAGATCGAGAATTTTTAGGCTTTCTTGGCCCCAAAGCTGTAGACTTTTGTCCTTGAACTTTCAACTCACATTTAGATGGCTGAAAAATATTACTGGCATCAACTGACAAACTAAATCCACTAGCAGTAGACTTAGTTGCACTATATCCAGGCTCAGTTCCCACCTGACTGTGATGCAACCCCTTCCTGTCTGGAGTCATCAACACACTACTTCTCATTAAATGTTTTGGTTGGACACCCAGTTTTCCAAGTCTGATATTTGAATTTTCAACTTTTATATATGCATTTGTATTCTGTTCTGGTGCTAACACTTCCCTAGACAGTCCTTTAACCTGGCTTACTCTGTTTTTTATCAGTTCACTGGAGAGAAAAGATAATTTTCTTTCATCTGGTTGTTGAAATTTGTCACCTCTTGGGTTTGGTGGATGTCTTGTCTGAAACCAATTACCCGTATTTCCTTTTGTTTGCTGTAACTGGGAATGCATAAAATTTGACCCACCAGAGCTGTTTCCATGTGATCCTGAAGGAAAACTTTCTTGTGCCTGTACACTGTTCCCATTCAGTGAAGTTGTAACATTACCAGAAGGCCAAATAGCCTCATAGTCTCTCAGCTTTCTACTTGACCTCATTTCTTCTCGGCTAGTGCCCACGGCCTGCCGAAAACTATTCCTCCTTTCTCGTACTCCCAACCCTGCAACAATAGTATTTACTTTCCTTTGAGCTTCCAATGTCAAATTATCAGCTTCCGCACCGTACTGCACTTTCTTCCCTGGCTGGTCAGATGATACATCACATTTTACATTGCTAATGAGGTAATCTTTGCAGTCCTGTAGCACCTTGGATGCATCACCATCGATAAGTTGTAATTGCTGTGATGGTGGTAAAACAAGATTATGACAGTCAAGACCACTTCCACCAGATATTGCTGTATCCTCAAAGTTAATTGATTCCAAACTCCGCCTTCTTCTGGGAACTACATGATTGGGTTCATAATTCCTCCAGTTTAATTGTATATGAGATACAAACTGTTTATCATCTTGTTTTGAAGATCTACAATTATCACTGTCAGACTCACACACATCAACTTCTCCACTCCTTGTTGACAAATACTTCTTTGGAAGAACAAAAGATTTCAAGTTTGATGCACTTTCACCTCTTGATAGCAGAATTCTGTCTGCTGGTAGTTTCACAGATGTGGCACCAGCTTCTGTGCCAACCCTATCATCTGCAGTATTTGGTGATGAAATAGGGCTTACAGCTGCAGCTAAAGAAAGTTTACAGTGTTGGTTGCTACCTAAAACTTTCAGTGACTTACTACGTTTGACAGGAAGCGTTGGCCTTATAGTCAGAGTGGATCTCTGTACTGTGGAAAGGTGGGGAGCACGCAAAATGCCATGACAAACAATAGGACCATTTACATTACCCTCTCTGTGTCCTGCTTTTACAATGACCTGGTCTTCTTGATTCTCAGCCTTGACACGCACAGCACCTAGTGAATGACTTCGAGCCACCGACTGAGAGTTACGCTGTTTAGACTGTGAACTTCTGCTTTCTCTTGTTGCTAAACTACGTTCAAATAAAGCCCTCAGCTTAGCAATTCGAGGTTTGTGAGACAAGCTTGTACCCGACTGTTCTACAATGGACCGCTGCTTTTCAGTTAAATTTTCAACTTCTTTCTCTTGTTTGGAAGATGCAACATGACCTCTCTTCTTCTGTGGCAGAGGAGGAATTCTCTCTTCAAATTCTTTCTCCTTCCCATCTTGTTTTTCTGAGGACAGAGAAAGTAACAAATACAATATTCATACTTATTTTAACAAAAATGTCACTGATTTTATTTATAAATGCAATACACTGCCATGAAAGACAATGGTAGATGGGGAATGGCTTCTGAATCATAACACTAAGAACAAGAGTAAGAGAGTTTATTGCTTTAACAGAATACAAGTCACTTTGCTACCACCTTGTATCAATATAGTCTTTTTCCTTCTAATAAGTTGTAAATATTTATGTAATTTTCAAATATGGGCCTTTCAAAAGTAAAGGAAGATCCTTCAAAGGAAATGTTACTATAAATTACTCTATTTTAACATACGGTGTTTTTATAAGCTATCACAACACAAATTAATTTAAAAAATACAGCTAACCTTCACTACAATATTCTGCTGAAACAACTATAGCAGGAGTGGCATACATTGGTTCTTGTTCCTCTTTTACTAATGGCATTCCATTTGCATCAATATTCTCATAGGGATGTGAGTCAATCATGCGCAACTGTTCACGGAACAGTTCCCTCACAGCCTGATGAACCAGAACATACTGTTCTTTGGTCTGCACCATGGCTATACGCTGTTTTCGCATATCTTGAACCAGTTTGTATAAACTGAAGTCCTTGCTGAGTTTCTAGAATTAAAGAAAAGATAGTTCATGTAATGTAAGTAAAAATCTAGAATCAGCAGTAACACAAACCACTGCATTTCAAATCAGCATACTATCAATGTTTGATTATAGTATTTTGGTTATAATCCAATGTTTTAGAGAAACACAAGTCTGCTCATAATTCACTGTGTGTACCTACTTGAATGAGGGTTTCATTCATTAATAAGCCTCAAAATTCACAGATTCAAGTTTAAGTTTTTCTATTTTATTTCCTTAAATATGGTTTAACACTTTTTAACATACACAACACAAAGAAAATGACAAAATTTGTCAACTACCCATCACTAGCCAAGTTATGCAATAAACAATGGAACAAGTTAAAGTAGTGTCCAGATGTATTTGCCACAACATGCAATTTAACTCTTTAAAAAACAGTGATAACTTTATGTTCCGCCTGCTTTAACATTCAATAACTATGCAATTGGTTCACAGGGTTTATTTATTGGCCTCAGAACAAAAAGTGAGGATTTCCTTAAACAGTGTTAACCAGGGTATCTTCATAATGGAGACTTCTCATGTTCTCTCTGAGGTAGGAACTGAGTTTTTAAACAATATTTAGATGAACTTCATGCTTCAAAGCATCAGCCCATAAGTGCAGAGAAATTCTGTTACTTTTACCATCTCCTTTGTGATATTATTTTGGGTTTAGCACACTGGCCAGAGAAGATCATTTAAACAAATACATTATTGGAACAGAGTTATCTTTCCTCCTTCTGTGACAGGACATTGTTGTAATCTGAAACTACTTCCCATGACAGTTTGTTGTTATGTTACTATACAGGCAGCCAATGGTACAGATGGTACCAGTTCATCCAATAAAGGTAGAATCTCAGAAGCTTGCATGTCATAAACCAACCTCACCATATTTTCATAATTGGGAGAATACTTACTCCAGCTCTAAGAAGACCCCACACATAGTCGATAGCACAGATTGTACCAGTTACCAAAACAGGTAGTGTCTCAGAAGCTTGTGTATCACGAACCAACCTCACCATATCCAACAGTGGTCGCACTAAAGGAGGGACACCATGATCTGGCCATGCTGAATAGTGAAACTGACACACTGTTCGTTCCTCTGAAACTGAAATGGTCACATGTCTTTACCACATATATACCTAGCATACTGAGAAAATTTCTGGGCAGCACAGTTCAGACCAAAATAATAAACATTAAAGAAAACTAGTTTTTGTTTTTGTTTCCATGTCAATCAGTTTCCATTTTTAATGGTAATTTAAAATAGGACTTACCCTATATTCTTGGGATTAGACAAGTTTTCCAATAAATGCAGTCTTTCATTCAAACATAGCTCCATTTTGGACAAGCTGTATGTGTGTTAAAATCAGTGTGGGTTGGTACACATGTGTGTATACATGTTCACTTACCATGAGGTGACTGACTGCTAGTGTACTTAAGGCGCATAGTACGTACAAGGAAGTCTGGGCAAACAGTGCTAGCTTTCAGCAAGCGTATGGCAACCATACCAAACTGCTTCTCTTCACCTTCTCGTTCCACCCAGTAATTCTCACACTTATGCTACAAAAATAAACCATAAATCAGCTTTTCCCTGCATATTCTGAAGCAGAATACTGTACTTGCCAAATACCATGTTTTTCTGAAACATCTGAATTATGAAACTGTATGTGCATCATATTCAAGAATTTGATCTGGATAGCGCTAATCACTGTGTGTGAATATACAAGGTGTAGCAGTAAACTTGGCAAAATCAGCTATTGGGCAAAGCAAGAAGCTTCCTATTTTCTTGCAACAGAGTAAAAGAGTGTGGTTTACTGTCAATCACTGAATGAGTCTTTGCTAAATAAAACATTCTCAGCCACACTAATCCTTCATTCACAACAGGTTTCTAATGCTGGTGACAACCTTAACTATGGCTATTGAAAGTAAATGAAGCAAAGTGACTGCAACAATTCACTATCTGTTAAACAAGATTTTGTACAAGAAGATGAACAAACGGAATCACACTGTGGCCAGAAAGTATGTGTTAGTGAATTTGAATCTGAGCAAAGCTGGAGAAAGAAGAATATTTTTCTTAAAAATAGCTACCACTGGTGGCTTTGTATGTGGGTAAAAAGCAAAATTGGTAATGATGAAATCAGTCCATACAGCAGTGGTAGCAGAAGTGAAGCATACTGGTAATGTAAGAACAGTATTGTAATTTTTATTAATTTTTCATGCTGCTGTGTTTTTTTAGCCATCAGGCATGCTTGTATAGATTTACACATCTTAAAATCATATGCATGCCATACAATATTTATACACATGAGAGTATTTTACAAGATTTTATACTCATAATTACACATTTTCACCTTTCTATTGTTGTTTTTACAGGTTACACGACTTCATGGTTACACATGCCTAAAAATTCTCTCTCCAGGATGTGGACTTTTATGTCACAAATAAATATTCAGAACATGTTGAATTTCACTGCAACATAGTTTCATCATTTAAATAATATTAACTTGCATATATATCCATTGCAACTGACCTCATACTTGTAGTTACTCAGTTTAAATATTTCTGTTGACTCAACATATTCCACCTTGTACAGTACTGATGAACTCCATACAACTGATAATTGGAATGCTGTTTTATGTCAGTGGTTAAATCCCCTCTCTCCAAGAAATGTGATCCAGTTAGTGTAAGTAAAGCCTGATATATAATTCAAACGTTTTCTTTCTACATCTCCAAAGTTAACACAGTTTTTATTAATAATACCATGAAATTTCCATAATGAATTTTAATTGTATTTGTTGAAGGGTCGTACAGTCCAAACATTCTCTAACAGCTTTCATATAATTTCACAAGTGTTCTTTTTCTATTGTTTCCTGTACTATTTGCTTCAGCTGCAGCTGTATCATGCTATGGCAGAGAACATAAAAATCACACATAACATCACAGAAATCAGTTAGGAGTACCTGTGATGCCTGTCATATCTTAAAATACTTTTAATTTGATTTCAATTATACAATCACCTTCCCAGCTTCCTCTTCATTACATGCCATGACAATGACTTGCACCTCACACTCCACCACCATTCGCCAGAAGTCGTTAACAGTGTGAGGAAGTGGACCCTGACATGCAATGTATGCTGGTGATCCACTTGCACCTTTGATGTAGTTGGCATTGATATAGTCACTGCCTGGCACGCCTGCATATTCACTCAAAACAACACGGCTACTGTCAACTGAAATATAGATATGTTTATTGAAAAGGATTTCTTGATTACTTCCCAGGATACCAGAAATATTATGAGCATTAAGTCAATGAAAGTAAACTGCAGATTTTTTTTCTTCCCTATCAACATGGTGATCATGCAAACTCATGAAGTGGAAGCTGTGTTAGAACCATTCAATACACAGCCCTGAAAACTTTGGAGCTTACATTTAAAAATATGCAGTTTATTACACTTCTGTTTGTGTATAATATAAAATAACAACATGGTGGTTGCTTAAACCTATTTCTACTTTTCCATTTGACAGTAATAATTGGCAGAACATTTAGCCATGTACCGAAAATGTGTAAAGTAATAAATCACATTCATATCATTTTTATATAAAGTGTCATCCTGGGTTAAAAATTATGCAATGATGCAAAACTTGGTATGACTTTAGGTTCTGGAAATGTATACAGAAAGAAACTATGCACACAGACCAGAAAGCTCTACTTTTGTGAGCATATCTTTAAATTTAAAGAAAAGTAGATAGTTTATTTATCCCGTGCAATTCTAGGAGTGGCCACTTCTGGTTTAAAAATAATGTGGAAAATTAGCTAGGTGTTTACAATGCACAGTACCTAAATCATGAATAATGTCATTCTCCCGCATTAAAACATATGCAGTCATGAAGCACTTTCTTTACTTCAATATTTCACCACAAATATTATCTTGTAGGCAAACTATAACAACCCAAATTGGGGCAGTTGGCCTGTGCATGAAACTTGATATCTTCATTCCTTAAAGACTATCTTCCAATAATACCAAAATACTTACAAGGCAGAATGTCCTTATAGCGATTTTTCTTCCGGTTTACTTCCTTCTCACCTTCTGAACAAGAATACTGTTTTGAAGTCTTTAAAATTTCACTGAAGAACTTTAATTCCTAAAATTAAAAGTACAACCACTTTACCAAGAAGTGTGCATAATCACTCCATCCTATTACAAGAGGCCAAAAGACTTTTCTTCATGCTTACTCATAGTTTCTCAGTTTCCTGATATGTTTTTGGCATCTACATTTTTTATGCTTTACTACCATCATTATACTAAAAGGCTTCTGTAGCTGGTATGTAATTAAGTAATATCTTAATCTGCTATCAGTTTTTATAAACCAGTGCACAATGTGTATAATAATTAATAATTCTAGATTATTCTTTTAAAATTATGCCAAGAAAAACATGTTTACACAATAGTTATTTTCCATAAAAATTATGTAACAATCTTGCCCACTTTGATGTTCAACATACTTTCTGACCTGCACTGAGGGTTTAAAACCTCACTAGTGAGATATTTTAATGATGGATGTGTAGGCAAAGTGAAGTGTTTATATACATTTATTCTTACATTAGCCATCAAGCACTCCACGATCTAGACATTTAGTAACACATAATCTATACAGAGCAAATAAAATATACATACAACAGTAAGACAACATTAGAGTTTAAAAGCATCAGCTTAAAATTGTCCATTTTTTAAAGCCAGCACTTATGCCAGCTTTGAAAGGTTAACTTTTATCTCACTCCTGCTCTTTGGAAGAATTTACTTCCACTGAAAATTCTCAGATATTCTAAATATTTGTGTAAACAGCTCTAACAATTGTGAATTATGTTTGTATTGGTATTGTATTGACACAATGTATGGTATTCATATTATGACAAGTTCCACATCCTTGGCTTATACTGTGAAGGATCTATGGACTGTAATAAATTTTATTAATGTTTTCTGCTGCTTATGTCGTTCTCGGGTATCCTTCAAAGCTCAAGGCGTGTGCAACATCTCGAAACAATCTCGTTTTTACTGTGAATTGTTATTTCCCAGCCCAAACCCCAAACTGGGGGGAGACCACCCCTTGTCGGCGAAAAACCAAGTTTTAAAATATCCTGAGACGTCCACCTAAATAATATCAGCACCTGAAATTCCTTATCATAGCTATCTTCTACCCTCTGGATTTCCAAACTCTCAATATGGTTTAGAAAATTCTGTAAAATTGTTCTCAAAGGAGTTCTTTCCTGTTCTTCTTTCATTGCAACCCATGCCTCTGTGTTCTTAAAGCAAAATACTTCTTAAGTGATCACTTTCAGCACAGATTCACACTACAAACACAACAACACTAATCTCACACCATAACCTTCATACCTATATCGCTTTCTCTTTCTCGTACCACCAAGGTTTATGGCCGCCGAGCTACATTCCATCCAGCCAGAGTTGCTCTTCCATAGCTTTGAACTTCGATCACACCGATTTTCGCTCACCTGTGCACTATACACTATTGCCCTCCTGAGGGTCCCAATGACAACTTATAATTGGATTTTGACGCTTAATGTCAATTGAGGTGTCTATGAGTTTTTTGCAAAAATGGAAATACGTTAACGGATTAATGTAGTGATAAAACAGTTATGATACATTTACAACAGTGTATATTAAAGGAAGTAAAGCTATTATTCTATTCTATTCTATTCTATTCTAGTCTATTATTTAAAATAGAACTAGCAGCGAATGGTCCGATTTTAATCTGGGATACTGAGATGTTGTACTTTGTCCATTGTCTGGTATTCTAAAACACACAACGTTTCGAAGACCGAATCTGTCTTCGTCCTCAGGTGCAAGGAAAGGGCAGGTGCACATATTCTGGCAATTGTAACAAAAAGGAACATTGATTTTTATTTTCGTATTTTCAATACGCTTTTCAGTCGATTAGGAAGTGTTACCACTCTTCGTAAAAAGTGCTATACCTCTATATGTTAGTGGTAACTTTACGTATCATAGTCTATGACATTCAGTGACTGTACTTTGTCCGAAGAATATATGCAATGTGTGTTTTATTATTTTCAGAATAAGCAGCGATTAATTCCCTAAACAGCAATAATCAATTTATTGTTGCAATGGAAAAGTGTTGAAGCTACTACTAGAACAAATCCTGAATATTGATGTTTTGCTGAGTACTGGTGCTGTGTGGACTCGTTGGTAGATGCCGGAGAAACATACCATTTCCATATTCAGGGCTCGAGTGGCGTTGCTGAGAAGTGGAAGAATGTATATGGAGTTAAAGGAAGGAAAGACGGGAAATGGGCCTTCCATTCGTGGCAACGCGACTTATGCTGCATTCTGTATTTTGGTGAACTGTAGCCTAAAGGCCAATTGAAACAATTTAGATTGAGATTCTTACTGCGGTCAGTATGTCGATGCAACGATATGTTCCTCCAAATAGTTGTTATCTACCAACAGTTTCACACAGTATAACAACCCAATATATTAATCGTCATGAGAAGCCAGTCTCATATGGCTCATGGTTTTCTTGGTTGACCGTCATAATTTCTTCGTGCGAGAAAGAAAATTTGAAACTCGCACGAAGCTTTTGTTGAGACCAGTGTATTTGGGTCCTGTGAAAGTATATTAAAGACATATTCACCCTGAAAGTGTTTGGTCGAACGTGGGTTGAGGGTCCTACGGAGTGCGAACATTAGAGTTAGGAAAATATTCTCAGGGTAGTGTCGGACACCTCGAACATTGTCTTGGAATTGATAATATTTATCTCATAATTCATCTAGTATACTGAAATTGTGGCGTTCATACCGCTTGTCGAATATGCGGTGTGAGAAATATACGTTAAGAACTTCAAATAATCTGTAACAACCCGTGATTGCCAACGCGGTAATAGTAGAGGGCATGTTTCCCCGGTTTTTATATCACTCTTCGTTTGGTGTTTGATTTGCGTTATGCATTATTGCTTTCAAGTAATTGTTAATTTCACAATCATTTGCAAAATAAGAAGAGTTAATGATGTATTACTTGAAATACAATGAGTTGTGCTGGGAAATTATCGCATTGTGTGAGGTAAATAATTACACCAAGATTTCGATCAAGAAGCTGGAGTACTTCTCGAACGAGCATTACCAGAACTTCAAACTAAATGTGTCCAAAACCTTCTGTAGATCTCAGTTCGCCATAGTTCAACCAATCACAAATGGCGGTGCTGCGTGACCATAGCTTGGTAAAATATGGCGTCAGTGAAAGAGGGATGTAATATACATGCAAATATTACGGCAGCATTCTCGTCTTGTAAAGGGAACCATCTGTTTGCAGTATACAAGGTAAACACAATTAAAATTTCCCCTAAAGTGTTACTTCGTTGTTATTATACAATATGTTGTATAGTGCTTGAAATTTTCTTGTTACCACTGTCCGTATCCGCCATGTTATAAGGTATTTGACGGATCGTGTGTATCGGTTGTGTCCTTGCTTGATGTCATATGTGAACAGTTTATTATTAAGTGAATATAAGATATGAAGAATGTGATTATCAAGTTTAACCTGCCAGTAACACACGATAGTTTAGTGATGAAGTTTATATTGGTTACAACAGTGTGAACGGTAGGCGTAACTGACGTAACTCATCACATACTAATTTTTACTTCTCATTCTCTAATTGCTGGGAAATCTGAAGACTTTATAGCAACACTTGTAAGTACAGTTAGTGGCAATTTATTTGTATTTCGGCGTCCTAACATTGCTTAAAAGTTTTGCAAATGTAAGATAATGTAATGTCTGGCGTGCCCACGGTTTTTTAAAGAAGAGAAGGTGGTTGAAAGGTTAACAAGTTGGCGTAGTGTCATTTACTATTCACAGAAGAACGATATTAGTCATGAAGTGCGTTTCATTTCATTTGTGTGTTTTATTTGGTATCCTGAAATCTCGTAAAGGTGGCTTCACTTCGAAGTATAACAATTATGGGGTAGGTTGCATTCATACAGACATTAAAATGTAACATTTGATAATCTTGAATAGTAGAAAGATGATGAATAATGTTACAATTGCGTGAACCTCATGCATTGTATCAATTTATATAATTTGACAATTTTGATCAGACTTCACAGAATTTCTCCAAACAAGTAATTCGTGGTACTTCGTGTAAGAGGAATGAGATTTTATACGTAGTGTAGAAACAATTTGAAATTAGTTTCTGAAATTGGATTCCTGATTTTGATCATTCATGTAATTTTCCCTTGCCCAATTATCCCATTTAGTTTACATATTCTGTTTTAAACGAGACAGTTTTGCTTCACAGACACAGTTTATTGATGCTGGGTGTTTGATTGAGTATTATGATAACATTCAGGTTTTTGTTATGAGTTGTAGGTGCATTTCTTTCATAATTTGCATGTAAAGTTTTTGAATATTAGAGGGTTTGTTTTTCCTTTCTTTATACAATGATTTTTCCACTTTAAATATATACTTTTGGAAATATTTTGGTACTATGGTTTTGCATGTTTTCTGATTTTGAGTGTTCTGTTTTTAGATTGCTGAAATTTTTGTTTCTTTGTTCCTCACTATCAACAGCAGGTTGTTTCTGATCTGAAGCTTTCACTGTGGCTAAGTATAATGAATTCTTCTCGGGCTTCAGTGCTCTGAGGACAAAGATGGTTTTCAAAACATTGGTGTTTTCTCCATTCAACCACCTGACATGCCTATCAGCCCGAGAAGAATTCATTATAAGCAGGTTTTTTTGTCCTTATCAGGATTGAATAGAAAATAGGGTCACTGGAAGATGTTGGTCATAATACTACATAAAACTAAGTTTTGATAATTTGAATTGAATTGCATTGAAAAAAAATGAATTGAAGTTCAAAATTTTCTTTTGTGTAAATTACATTTAATTTTTCTTTGACAGCAAGGTACAGAAAATCTAGAAGAAATTAGTTTGAATTGTACTTTTTAGGGCAAGTTTACAAGATTTGAAGAATATCAAGTAATAAAATGTAATTGAATGATTTTTATTAGAAAATGTGGTTTGAAACTATGATGGTATTTATCATTGTTCATTGAAATGTTTTCTTCAGCAGTGATAATGTGCAAAAGTAAGTTGTATATTGTTACTGTTTATGCATATTACCATATTAGTACATATACTGAACTTTAATAGAACTGAAAGCTCTTGTTTACAAGTATCCAGTGACTTACTTCTTTGAAGTTGGACACCATTGATATTGCTTATATGTTCGGCAGGTAAAAACAGTACTGTGGCTCCATGTTGTGGCATGGATATATATTAATATGGATTTAATATATGAATAGAATAGAATTGATAGCATTTTATACATTCTTTATAGGGCTAAGCTAAGATTGTAGAACATGTCATTGCACAAATACAGTACTTGCTTCTAATACAAATATAAATACATAGTTGTGATAGTTGTTTATGGTTTACTGCAGTATTACAGCAAAAATAATTGCACAAGAAAATATCACCATATTTACTCACACGTATTTGTAATAGCTGAGAATTTTTGGTTAAGGAAAATTCTTCTGTAGAATAGAAGGGGTGAGTTAGATACTGTTTAGTGCAGGATTGAAGTTTTTTATATAATGGTTTAGATGTGTGAATGAGCCAGCGATGCTGGGTGTTTGATTGAGTATTATGATAACATTCAGGTTTTTGTTATGAGTTGTAGGTGCATTTCTTTCATAATTTGCATGTAAAGTTTTTGAATATTAGAGGGTTTGTTTTTCCTTTCTTTATACAATGATTTTTCCACTTTAAATATATACTTTTGGAAATATTTTGGTACTATGGTTTTGCATGTTTTCTGATTTTGAGTGTTCTGTTTTTAGATTGCTGAAATTTTTGTTTCTTTGTTCCTCACTATCAACAGCAGGTTGTTTCTGATCTGAAGCTTTCACTGTGGCTAAGTATAATGAATTCTTCTCGGGCTTCAGTGCTCTGAGGACAAAGATGGTTTTCAAAACATTGGTGTTTTCTCCATTCAACCACCTGACATGCCTATCAGCCCGAGAAGAATTCATTATAAGCAGGTTTTTTTGTCCTTATCAGGATTGAATAGAAAATAGGGTCACTGGAAGATGTTGGTCATAATACTACATAAAACTAAGTTTTGATAATTTGAATTGAATTGCATTGAAAAAAAATGAATTGAAGTTCAAAATTTTCTTTTGTGTAAATTACATTTAATTTTTCTTTGACAGCAAGGTACAGAAAATCTAGAAGAAATTAGTTTGAATTGTACTTTTTAGGGCAAGTTTACAAGATTTGAAGAATATCAAGTAATAAAATGTAATTGAATGATTTTTATTAGAAAATGTGGTTTGAAACTATGATGGTATTTATCATTGTTCATTGAAATGTTTTCTTCAGCAGTGATAATGTGCAAAAGTAAGTTGTATATTGTTACTGTTTATGCATATTACCATATTAGTACATATACTGAACTTTAATAGAACTGAAAGCTCTTGTTTACAAGTATCCAGTGACTTACTTCTTTGAAGTTGGACACCATTGATATTGCTTATATGTTCGGCAGGTAAAAACAGTACTGTGGCTCCATGTTGTGGCATGGATATATATTAATATGGATTTAATATATGAATAGAATAGAATT